CATGATCCTTAAATTTTTCTGAATTCTTTTTTGCTGTTGATAAATTTCAAACCAACATTTTTCTCTATGGCAGGAGAATCTTCAGTTTCATGTAGTAACTGTGGCACACCATGCGTCTTACGGACTGCTAATACTGCCAACAACAGGGGAAGAAAGTTCTACTCATGTCAATCTCAAGACTGCAATTTCTTCGTGTATGCATCCCCCTTCCATTAAACTTTGTTTTTATCTCTTAAACGAAATTTGAACATTAAGTTAAATTACCATGCCAGCTTAAGTATTTCAGAATGAGTTATAATTTTCCATTATATTAGAATAAAAAAATTCTATGTTTACATTTTCTTATTCCATTTACTCCCTCCAGAAAACAATAGTTCACGCTTTAAATCTTGTCTGACAACATAGGCTAAAACTTCTATGACTCAGCCAAATAGCTCAAATTTAATTTTTTTCCCCTAGTCAAAGTAGTTTATAATGAATAATATTTAAGTGTTTATCGGTATCTTTCTACTTACCACCATTAAAAAATTGATAGCTATTTATTTTTTCGAAAAAACTAAAAGATAAAATCTATTTTATCTCTCTTCCTTTATGCATTCATCTCTCTTGTCAATTCTTTAGTGGTGGTGAGTAGGACATAGCTACTGAGGGATAAGCACAGTACATATTATTCTTTTATAATTGCTTTCTCTTGAAATAGAAATTCTGAACTTTGGTCTTAATAGTACCATAGTTTTGCTTCACAACTGATAAGGAAAACAGTCTTCACAGTGCCTTAATTCCTTAGATTCCAAGTCAAAACTGTCTAATATTGCTTTAATACCCTTTGCTTGTTCACGTAAATGTAAACCAATACATTATTTTGCAGATGGGAAGACAACATTGACAGTGGCAATGGAGGAAACAGTGCTCCACGGTCAAATATCAGGGGCTCAGCCTCAGTAGCATCAAATCCTAATCCTGGTCAGAACACTGGACATGGGCGCGGTCGTGGTCGTGGTAATATTGCTATGACATTTGTGTCGGCTACTGGTGAGCCGATATCGGATAGAAGATGTTTTGTTTGTGGTGATCCATCACACTTTGCAAATGTTTGCCCAAACCGTGGTGCCTGATGCCTTTCCATGGCTAAAAGTTCTGAAAAGATACTAATATGATCTTGATTAGTTGAGCATTATGTAACCTGTACAGCTAGAAACAGGATTAAGAACTATATATATCAGCTGAAAATTTTCCAAACCAGCCCTTGTTTATTGCTAGACCATTTCTGAAACGTAGGACTAATATACTCGAAACATATGCTTGAAGTCTAAGAAGCATCGACAAAGATACGACATAGATATGACAATATGTTTATTACAATGATTCTCATGGTGAAAATTTTAATTTATGTGCTTATGAGGCAATAGTGTCATAATGTTCAAGATACATCCACACCAACTTATTGTAAATGATTTAAAATCTTGGAAATTTAAAGTCAATACTTAGTATTATGTATTTTGCTCACAAAATGTTCATAAGTATTTGATATGTGCTCAATAATGGTCAAACTTGTATACACAATTTGTTAAACTAATTCTTGTCAAGAATTTCTTGACATGTGCCTACTGTGCTTAACAAGTATTCAAAACATGTTTAATAATTGTCGGAGTGTCTGCAACTTGAATATAATTCAATTGGTCAAAATATATATCTTAAACTAAAAAGTCGAAGGTTTGAATCATCACCCTCACATATTGTGTTGAATTCAACAAAAAAAATAAAAAAAAAATATGGGTCACCAACATCAATCACTAAGCTTGAAACCTTCTCTATCTCTTAGGCAAGAAGACCTTGGAAGTCCATATAGAACTGTTAAGGATGATGGTACCTTCGTACTCTCAAATATCTTCATAATGGTATGATATTATCCATTTTGAACATAACCCTCACGACTTTACTTTTGGGTTCATTCAAAAAGCCTCATAAGATAATTGTCTTCTCTTTTACAAACCCAAGAACAACTTCCTAGAATATGATTTTTGATAGACTAACATTCATGATTGGTGACGGATCCAAGATCTCCTTCTAAAAAGATGTTTGGCTTGTGAATTCCACCTTAGCATTAAAACTCCCCCTTCTTCGGGAGCAGAAGAAACTTAAAAGATTAGGAAATCAATGAATGCACTGAGCTTCTTCATCATCTCTCCACGGTTCATCTTAAATAACTTTGAGGACAAATCCTTATATAGAAGCTGAACCAAATGGTATTATATGTTTATTGTTCTCACAAAATTCTCTCCTACACTACAAGAATATCTCTCTATGGCTATAATGGATGAAAGCTTGATTGTATGATGCCATGTGGAAATAATATTACCCTCCAAAAAGGTCAATCTTTTTTCTTTGGGAGCTTCACAAACCTATCAACACTCAAAATAAACTTTAAATTTTGTGAGTTTTAGGATAAATTTTGGACCCATCTTTTTTCTTGTTTGAATAATTATCCATGCCTCTACCAAATGAGTTCGTTTGATCTCCTCACTTTTGCTCTCAGGAATCGCCTGTTTTGAATGGAAGATGAACTTCTTTGGATGAACATTTTTCGAGCTTTCTTTTGGAACCAAATAATTTTCAACACAACGTGGAACGTCCATTTGATTGTTTGTTTGATGCTATAGTTTTTTGTTGTTGTTACATGGTGTAAATGTTCCCCATTCATTAATACAACTTTTCTTCTCTCTTATATTCCATTGGAGAAGTTCTTGTTGGAGCTCTCTTTGGACACTTTTGTAATTTCATTTCATATATCTAAAGATGGAATATTTAGAGAGATTTAACCAAATAATAAAGATTAGAGTTGCAACTTAATCATGTTCGGTAACATTGAAATCGCAATGCTCTCCTACGAGTAGGAATCGTGTCAAATTAAATTATATATTGATAATATGAAATCAAAGTCACATTCTTGAAATCAAAGTTCTCAATGGCACTTCTCACAAGACCTAAACAATGAAACAATATCGTATAGTCATCCATAACATAGTAATTGTGAAGGAGTCAAACTATAGTATGTAGCTATAACTAACATATTACAATATTTCTATGGAATCAGAGTTTCTATCACGTACACGTTGAAGGTACGCCAAAAATATTTCCTTAACATTCTTCTTTTTCGAACCCTTGCTCCCAGAAGCTACAACAACATATTCAAAACAAACAATTAAGAAAACATTAATATGAATCCATACATTGGTTTGTCCAAAATGAATACTCGTACTCTAACTAGCATGTTATTTACAAATCATAAGAGCTAAACAATAAGAACAAATTCATAACACTAAGTATCATTCTTCCAGTACAATATATGCACGAGAATATTAAATACTTTTCAACCAGGTATAGCCACAAGAATAAATATGTTTCTCTCTTCCTATAATACATAACATGCACAAGACATGTCTAATTTTAGGGGTGGGGGTGGTGTTTGGGATCAGATATGATTTTAATACTAACTCCTACATTAGTTTGTCTAGAACGAATACTTGCACTCTAAAGAGTATGTTGTTCACAAATCATAAAATATGTTCTAGTGAAATGATAAGAACAAATTCCTAACTAATTACTCTTAATTCTTTCCAATGTCACAACAGTACATATCAATGTTAGATTCTAATCTAAACACCAAAAGTGTCCAAAGTCCTACTATGTTGAACAGTATCAAGTATGCATCTTGTGTATTAAAAAAACTTACTACCTTTGCCAATGCTCAAGAAATTCTAATACAAATTGAACTCCAAATCTCGACAGTTCAACTATTAACAATAACATGTTATTATCTTGTCAAACCGAACATAGTTCAAGTGGTTAAGACACCTATCTCTTACCAAGAGGTCATGATCAGTTCGAACCCCCATCCCCACATGTTGTATAAACAAAAAATAATATTATTATCTTGAACTGAACCATTTGGACATATGGAAGAAACATCTAGTAGCAATCTCATGTAGATTCACTCTATTATTTTCCATTTCACTCCTTTGTTAATCAATTTAGACACATACATATAGCACAAGAATGGGAGATTAAGCTCTAAAAGTCTCCATTATTCTGCAAAAAGTGTATTTTTTTTGGGGTCTATATTAGATTAGCAAATCATCAATAACAAGGAACTGTTACAAAATTTAAATTGAAGCTTGAATATCACAATATAACACCAAGTAACAGAAACAACAGAGGTTGTCAAAATTGAGCAAGTAACATAAACAATGGAGACATGAACTTGGTAATGTACTTCTCTCAAAATACTTCAACTTGGTAGAACAATGAAAGGAACCATATCCAGGTTGCATCAATGAAAAGGGAGGAGAGACATAATTGTAAGTATAATAAATAGAAAGAAATCCAACAAGTCAAGAACATTTTCTATAGAAGAAAGCAAAATAAGTCAAATATATTTTTGGTCCTTGAGTTTGAGTATAAGTTTCTATTTGGTCCCTACGTACAGTTTGATCTTTGACAGATCATTGTAGTCAAACTTTAAGGATATAATACTGATGTGACATTCGTAAGTTGGCAATTTTGAGATTATGCAATAATATTTATTAGTTTTACATTATTTTTAATTCAGGTGGCATTTTTTCCCTTTTCCCCTCTATTAGCCTTTAGCTTCCCTCCTTTTCCTTTTCCTCGAGGAAGGAAGGAAGTTTGAGAGAGAAATAGAAGAGGAAAAAGAGAAAAAAAATGTCTGTGTCACTTCAAAATATTCTTCAATGTCACAAACTATTTTCTAAAAGTCGAGATCAAAAACGTATTTTACCCCAACAAAATATAAAATGAATCTTTTATTTTCTATAGAGATAAAAGAGCTATGAGAAACATATTAGGAAAGTTTATTTCTTTCTTTTATTTGCTATAATATAGCTATATTGTTACATCTTTCAAATTGAAAGTTTGGTAAATTGAAACAAATAAATAAATAGATTAACAAATTTCAAAAGTATTGAAAAAAAAAAACTTAATGGAATGTTGATGATGAAAAATTATTTCATTTAATCTGGATCGTAACTCTTTCCTCTTCTAATTTTAATCACCGACCACCTTTCTACCTGCGACAAATAAAGAAAAGAATCATTAACAAACATAATATCATCACGAGTTTAAACTCCAAATTCATTTTATATGTACTAAGCTATGTTCGAATTATTTTAAAAAATCTATATTTTGTGTGTTTCTATTGATGACTTAATTTATAGAATAAATTGTAAATAATAACTTCAATATCTATGATAAACATTAATTTTTATTTTAGAAACAAAAACCTTTTTGGAAGTTTTTATTAGAAGATTAGGCCTACCGATTGCTGATTCAGTTTAAAATTGTTCCAACACTCCAGGGGTAATTGGTAAAGTTCCATTGCCCAATGAGTTTTCTTTGGTTTTGTAATACGTCCTCTAAAATACACAGATTCCTTCTTTAAAGCTATGACTTCTCCTCGAGTAGATCGGATTGGATATGAATCGCCTACGAACTTCCAAAACCCTTCGCCATTGCCTACACATTGTATTTCGTTTGTCTTTTGATCGAAGCCTTCTCCTAAAGGAATGAAAAAATACCATTCTCTATCGGAAGAGTTACGTGGCACTACAACAATGACAAAGAGAAAAAAAACGATGAATGAAACAACACTCAATAATTATTGCTTTTTCATAAAGTACTTTTTTACTTTTTTTTTTCTCAGAGAAATTTAAAATGTCACTTCTAATAAATTTCGACACATATATAGACTAGGAACTTTTTGGCCTATGGCGCCGTAAAACCTGCCCAAACATAATAGTGTAAAAAAAATTAGGGGAAATAATCAAAATTTAACCCTAAATTAGTAAAGGGTATCAATTTTTACCCTAACTTCAACTCTAAACTTTGATAAAATTTTGGAATTTTATCCCTTAATTCAATTTCCGCTAATTCACCAACTAATTTTAATAAAAAAAAGTAATGATAGAAAAATTCTCCAAAAACTCATTAATTTAATGAAAATCAAACTTTAACAAAGGCACAAAAATTAACCATTAAATAACTTCATCAAAACTTACAAATTTTTCAAAAAAAAAATGGCTCTTTCTTTCTAAATCCTATCAATTTTATACTATGTTTTAAAGTTTTATTAGACACCAACCAGAATACTTCTCCGATTCTTTGCAACAC